AAACTCCATTTGACACATATCTTTAAATTACACATATTTTTATTCATTTGCAAAATGCAGTCATCCAAAGCATCTCACAATTCCTTTTTCTTAATCTTTTAAAAAGTAATGTTTATCCACGTTTTCTTTGACTGTGCCATATATTTAAAATTTGTGTAATATATTTATTTTCATGGTGTAAATAATCAACGTATTTATGATTTTTAATTATTTATCACCTAAATATAAACTAATCAATGAATCCATTATAAAAAAAAGGTTAATTGTTTAACCGAAGTATAATAAGTATTTATTTATTTCCTATTTCTTTCTCTCTCTCTCTCTCTCTCTCTCTCTCTCTCTCTCTCTCTCTCTCTCTTCTCTCTCTCTCTCTCTCTCTCTCTCTCTCTCTCTCTCTATCTCTCTCTTTCTCTCTCTCTCTCTCTCTCGATTTATCTATCTTTCTATCTAGCTGGCTAGCTAACTAGCTAGCTATCTGTCTATCTATCTATCTATCTATACATATATTCATCATATATCTCTATTTGTTTATCTATTCCTCTATCTATCTATATGTCCCTTTCTCTTGTTCTCGCTCCCTTTCCTCTCCACCCTATATTTCTCTCTATCTATTTTCATTCTAAAAAACATCTGGTTCACTTACGGACACTGGAGAGAAAGACAGCATCAGGAGCGACTTGAGGAGAGCATCATTTTTGCATCATGTAGCATTAACCATAAAAGGAACTTACTCAGGTAATTCATAGGTTTCGCAACCTTCATTTTCACGTTCCCCCGTGTTGTGTTTTGGCTTAGTGTCAATGGAATATCCAGAGCAGGTTCTAGGATTGACTGTGGTGATATATATATTATATAATATATATCCAAATATATATATATAATATATAAATAATAACTATATATATATATTAATATGTATATGATATATATCCTACTACAATATAACCCTATATTAGTATACTCATAGTTACTTCATTAATATCATCCCCTATATACCTATATCCTCTACTATACCCAATTTCACCTAATAATACCCCATTCCTTATCGTCACCCTCTCCCTCCCCTTACACCCTCAACCATTCCAAAATACTATATCTGCCTACAACAACCTATCAGTACTTCACTATTTATAACCCACTCCTTTCCCTTCCTTCCCGGTCCGCGCCTCTCCATCATTCTATATATATACCTCATATCTCATGTCTCTCCCAAATCGTACTGTACACTCCCATCTCTCGCTACTCATTATATATGCACTCGCTACACCCCGCTCATCACTCACCTCATTTCGTGTCCTCTAATCCTCCTCCACAAACTATCTTGTGGCTTTGCGACCTCGAATCATTTGTTTGCCCCACTAGCAACCACGAAGAGCCCCCAGCCTCAGTACCCATCACCCACTTACACTTCCCATCCAATGGACCATACTTTTGGGAGCGCCACGGCGCAGTATGTCGATTGGCAACTCGGTGTCGCGCGCGCCACCTTTCCGATAGCTCGATACGCTGTCTACTTTCAGGAGTAAGTATTTACCCACCTCATTCAGCACGTCCTGGACAGACACGTCCAGTGTGCTTGATCAGCAAAGTACGTTGATATTATACAGCAGATTGTCGTATATGGTCAAATAGCCAATCGCTGTGAGATATCACCTGCATACTCTACCACAGTGATATCACTCTCCATTCATACTGTGGACCAATGCGACTGCCTCTCTTTTCATAGCGACACATTAATCAATTGATTCTCGCGAGAAATACTGAACAAAGCGAGCCACACCGAAATGGACAAGTGCAACGCCAGCGCAGAGTGAACTGAACGGGTTAAGAGATAAGGAGTTAATATCGACAGCATGAAAGGACTAGATTGACTAACGAACACCGAGGAGAGACTCCCGTGAGAGAGATAGAGAGAAAACGAGAGAGACGCACGAGAGCCGAGAGAACGAGCAGCAGAGAGAGAGAGAGAGAGAGGAAGAAAAGCAACCAACCGCCAAGAGCCAGACACAACCGAGAACAACAAGAAGAGAAGATGAGAGAGAGAGAGAAAGAGCAAGGAGAAGACGAGGAGAGACGAGACAACAGGAAAAGAGAACGGAGCGCAACTGAGGCGCAGGGAGAGACGAGGGAAACGGAAAGATAAGCAGACCGGAGAACGAAAGCCTAGTAAGACAAGGGAAAGACAGCTGAACCCTGATACACACGGCGCATTACAACCTATATATGTGTTGCTCATTCCCCAGCATAGGCATCTGCAATTTACTGTTCATACACGCAGCCTGAAATTCACGTTCCTCCGTCACAACCCAGCGTTAACCCGCGCTCATAAATGAGTCGAGGATAATCGCATCTACGACGAAGGGAGGTATTCTAACGCTCTTTATCATTCCCGGCGCGCCATTTGATGAAGGATGGTTTCATCTAACGGGTCCCCGGGCCTGCTACAGTAGGCACCGAATGGCGGCGACGACAGGCAGGACGCATATTTGAGTAAGTATTATACTGGCTGCGGATGGGGGCAAAGGATAGGGCGAGAAGGAAGAGGGGAGCGCGGCCCGAACGCGGATGCCACCTTGGCAGTCGCGCTGATAGCGAAGATTGGCGAGGGTGCTGTCCGTCTATGTTTCGTCCGTTGGACTGGACCGTTTCTACGATGATTGTGATTTTTTTGAATTAGAATGAGTGTGTATATTTTGGATTTGTGTGTAGATTGTCCCTTACGGAAGAGTATTCGAAGAGGGAGATGGTCGCGAAAAAGTGGTAGCTATGAACAACAAGTGACGCGTGTATGAGTTTCTTGCTGCCTGTGTGTCGTGTGTGTGTGTGTGTGGTTTGTGTGTGTGTGTGTTTTGTGTGGTGGTGTCTGAGAGTGTGTGTTGTTACTTGTGTCTGTGTGTTGTGTGTGTGTTCTTATTGGAGTGTTGTACGTTGCGCTCCTATGTGTACCAGTCAGGTGGACACTTTGCTGACCCTGACAGAAAAGGAGACATTGGGGTTTTGGATAAGTGGCCCATCGTGTGTGCCATAATGGGGCCAGTCATGATGATGATGATAGAATGTAAAGAAGTGGTAGAGAAGAGAGAAATGAGAAAGAGAGCGGGGGGTGAGGGGAGGCAGGAGAGAGAGAGATGAGAGGGGAGAGAGAGAGACACAGAGAGAGAGAGAGAAAGAGGAAAGGAAAGAAAGAGAAAGAGAAAGAGAGAGAGAAAAGAGAGAGACGAAGGAGGAGAGAGGAGAGAGAGAGAGAGAGAGAGAGAGAGAGAGAGAGAGAGAGAGAGAGAGAGAAAGAAAAAGAGAAAGAGTGAGTGTGAGAAAGAGAGAGAGAGAGAAATAGATAGATAGAGAGAAAAAAGAGAGGGAGAGAGAGACAGACAGAATGCGAGAGACAGAGACGGAGCGAGAGAGAGAGAGAGAGGAGAGAAGAGAATGAGTGAAAAGCAGTAAAAGCAGTCAAAAAAAAAAGAAAACAGATAAATATATATGTGCGTGTGTGTGTATGTGTGTGTGTGTGTGCGCGCGCGTGTGTGTGTGTATGTGTGTGTGTGCGTGCGTGTGTTTTAGACAGGGAGAGAGAGAGAGAGAAAGTGATAGATGATAGATAGAAGAGAGAGAGAGGGTGATAGATAGATAGAAGAGAGAGAGAGGGTGATAGATAGATAGAAGAGAGAGAGAGAGAAAGAAATAAGAACAGACGGACAGACAGGCAAAGAGGTCAGGGTAAACTGCACAACTTCCGGTTGAATAGCATATACTGTACGGCATACCATAACATTAGATTGAAATTAATCAAAACCAAATCAGGTCATTGTTATCATTTATTACCCTGGATGCGCTTACTTTCATCTCTCTACTCGCGTTATTTCGGAATCCTATCTGCTTATCAGAGGACAGGATATGTGCGGATTATGAAACATATGAGATGGTAATTAATGGTAAAGAATATCCAATAAAATATCCAGTAAAGTGGATAATGAAAAAAATAATTATGAAATACATCTGGCAATAGAACAGCAAATATGTACATCCACACCTTTTAAATGTTGCCTTGACCTGGTGTGACCTACGCTCCTTGGCTCAGAATTCAAATCAGGGCTGCACTGTTCTTCAAAATAAACAATATATGGTTGGATCTGGAACATTTTGATAACAATTAATGGAGTGAATATCGGGTTTTGAGAATGCTGTTAGGTATTTGTAGATACCTTGTACATTTTTCCCGTCCGTGTATCATTTAGATGCATATGGTGAGATAATCATAAATCATATTCATCATACAAGTATAGATGAAGTAATTACTATATCCATATATTCATATACACTATATATATATACATATATATATATATATATATAGTATATATAATATATATACATTATATATATATATAATATATATATATATATATATACTATATTTATGTGTGTGTGTGTGTGCGTGTGTGTGTGTGTGTGTATGTGGTGTATTGTGTGTGTGTGTGTGTGTGTACATATATGATATATATATATATATATATATATATTATATATATATATATATATATATATATGTATGTATATATGTATATATATATAAATATAATATAATATATATATATGTATATATACATGTATATTATATATATATATATATATATATATATATATATATATATA